AGGAGGAGGAGGAGAAGGAGGAGGAGGAGGAAACCCGGCGCTTTCACTCCTGCTGGCTGCAGAGGCTGAGGCAAAAGACAGAAAAAGGAGGAGGGGAATAAAAATTAGAGAGGGGAGAGAGAGAGCGCGAAAGGAAACTAAGCCCAGCTTTTGCCGGTGCTGCTTCGATTGGATCTGGTTTGAGTTTCCTCTCTGCTGGCTTGTGCAGGCAGAGAGGAGGAGTGGGGGGAAGTAACTCGCTCGCTCTTCCTCTGAAGCTTAAGCAAACGTGCTGGTGCCGGCACTGGTGGGGACTTGCCTTGTAGCTTATTGCTCTCAGTTACTAAAGAATTGCCTGGACTTCTCGCGGACCCGGAGGAAAAAGCCATCACTTCACAGACCCGATAGTTTCTCAGTGCCTATAGACTAGACACTTTTTTTTTTTTTTTTTTTTTTTTTTTGGTCCTAGGAGATTCTTTTTAAAATTATTTTTCTCCCGTGTCTCTCAGAACAGCAGTTCCTTGAGTGTGTGGCATTGAAATCCATTACTTGTCAACAACTTCGGGAGATATTTTTACAAACTTTCTTTTTCCCCCTCTCTTTGTTTTATTTGCCTTAAGAAAAAAAAAAAAAAAAGAAAAGAAAGAAAGGAAAAGATAATCCTTTTAGGGGGAGGGGAGATGATCGTGCTGATGTGGAATAAGTGCTCCTGCTGTCTCCTCTTACTAGCCGCGGTCCTGATCGTGGAGAGCTCCCAGCTAGACAGCTCCAGCTCCAAGGTGAACTCCATCAAGTCCACCCTGATGGGGGAGGCTCCAACTCAGGCAACCAACAGATCTGCAGGCATCCACCAGGGACTGATGCTTGCTAGCAGTAAGAAGGGCAAAATGCTAGAGCAGATGGGAAAACCTCCCAAGCATTATCACCGGCAAGGAGAGGTAGGACATCACTTCATTGCTTGAGTGTCCGTCTGTGTGCTATATGCAAGTAATTGCTAGTCTTCCCCTCACGTTGTTTTCAAAGCTTTACTGTGTTAAATTAATTCATATGCTTCATCAGGGATATCTGGGACAATATCATCTCACAATTGGTGTTAAGAACTGTGCAAGTGGGAGTTGGAAGGTTTTAAACCTTTCTTTTTTCTCTGTAGGAAGAATAACTGACAGAAGAAAGAGTAATCTAAAAAATTATCATCTTCAGCATTTCTTTGTTTGATTCCTTCAAAGTGCTGCTAGAAGTAAAGGAAGAAATTTCTTGTTAACTCTCAGGCACTAGATGAATTGAATTTGAATAGGTGAGGAAAATTTGAGCATGGAGTGGAAACTGCATTTGCAGCGGTGAAAAAAAGTTGGTTTAAAAAATCACACCTAGCAAGTTGATCTCTGCTATCTTTCTCCATGGGGAGAATAAAAAAGCATGCTGTCCCAGTGGCATAGTTTAAGGCCCATTCATTTGCTTAATATGACAGAAAATAAATTCTAGGTTTCTTGTCTAGAATTCGCTCCAGTGATTGTGGAAGTTTGGGAGTAACATCCCTGAATATGAAGTTTGAGTGAAAGGGAGAAAGAAAAGGTTATAGAAACTTTATGAAAAAAAGACCCTGACTTGCTCATGCAGTCTTCTTTCCTCTCTACCCTGCTTGGAAACTTGGAAGTCCCATAGAAATTTATCTTCATTCACCTATCTTTGTGGTAAACTATTTTCAGCCATCAGTTCTCTACTTCCCTATCAAGTCTCAAATTGGATGGTATGAATGTTGTGCATGTTGAACAAGGTAGACTTCTTCAGAAAATATAGGTTTTATACTATTGGGTATTATTAGTACCTCCAAATACAGCTGCTTTTCATAAGCAACAGACAGTGTAGCAGCAAGGGAGCTGCCAACATTCAGCACTAAAAAGGCGAAATACTCAATGCCTGAAGGGTCTGTATCTTGCCTTCATTTTTCTTAAAACAGCAGAGAGGCTGCAAATTCAAGTAATCCACTGAATTTACTAAAGTGTTTCACATCAGCTTCCCAATAGTTGGATGTTATCATTTGAGTTTGTGTGCAGGCGTAATAACAGTGGTGGTAGTTTTGGTTTTTGCGTGTGAGAAATTTGTTTTCAAACTCCTCCAAGCTTTCTTTCTCTAGCCACTCAATTGTTTTATAATTTACCCAGAATTTGGTTGCCTCTCCTTACCTCTGAGCAAAGTTTAGTAACAGATGCTGTGCTGAAGTTTCATATTACTGAAGTACTGTGCTCTTTCCTAGTGCACATTGTAATAATTACTATGTTAAATCACCTTCAGGAAATACAGGAGCATGATACCCTTTCTTATATATTCTCCTTGGGTTTTCTTTTGTTTTCTGTGTATTTGCAAGAAGTCAATATATAGGACCTATTTTCCCACTAAGTGTTATCTGAGTCTCATGACTTTCAGTGCAGGTACTTGAGGGGCTGCGCTGTACCGCCCCAAACATGATACATAATTTTTGCCTTTTGGGGAGGTCTTGCTACCTTTTCCTATGTACAACATCCTTATCACTTCAATGTGTATTCAGCGCAATGTTGAGAATGATGGATTATAATTCATCCAGTTCCTGGAAAACAAGTTGGGCTGCCCACTGGTTGCATTTGCAAGGTTTGCCCCTTACTTGCCAACCTGGATTGTTGGCTGGGAACTTCTGGTTACTGGCATAAACTCATGAGGTACACTTCAAGCCAGAGACAACACTGTAATCTGTAACAGTAGAAGAGATGGCTTGCACGTTAAGATGCCCTGCTTATAGCACAAGCAAAGACCCCTGGAGAATTTGTGACTTTGTCTCCCAGGGAGCAAAGCCTGACCTCCCGTCAAGGGCTGTTGGTGCTGATTTCACCCTCTCTCCCCAGGACTCCGTCCCTGGCTCCTGCATGGTCTCACACAGATGTAGTCCATGAAAACGACTCAGATTTGCTACCAATAATTGTAGATGCTACTTTCGGCCATCGCCTGAAACAACAAATTTAACACAGAAAGGCAATAAAAAGAAGAAAACAAAAAAGTAACTTTTGTGATAATGCTTTATCTTTGATGATACTTTCAGTTGCAGGGTTGGTAAGGTGCTGCAATTTTTAACAGCGGTGTCACACCTTTCAGCCAATTTAGACATGACATTTTCATAACCTTTTTTTTGAAAGTACTCTCTTATTAGGTTAGTACTTGATTTGTTTAGATTATGGGACTTCGTGCTGAAGTTTTGCATGCCATTTTCTAAAAGAACAGGCCTATGCCTTTGTTTCTAAAACAATCTGTTGCATTAGTGGAATTTATAATGTGTTGAAAGTAGGAGTACCTTTTATACCTTTGTAACACTAAAGGGTGAGTTGAGTGTCTTGTTTACAATTAGGAAGTAGTTTTAGTAAAGACAAAGGATATGGAGCTTAAAGGAAAATTAATAGAATTTTGCTGTTGTGACAGCTCTGAGCTGTGCATTCAACTCTCTGCAGATACACGTAGTGGAAATCAGAGGACTCTCACCAAAATTGATGAAAGACTGTCAGCCAGCAACCTCTTTGCTTTTTCAGCTCAGTAGACTAACGCACTTTCAGAACATTTCTCTAATACGTTAATGTAACGTTGTCAATTATGTGAATTTTCAGGACTAGGAGCACCTTGGGAGTCTTTAATCAGCGATAAATTGATGGATACAATAGTTCATGGCTTATCTAGAGCGTTGATGTGTTTCAGCTGGTAGTTTCAGTGCTTCTGCCCAGAAAGGGAAGATCCAGTGCTCCTTTGTCAGGCAAAGTTCCAGTTCAAATTAAAGAAAATACTCACATGAGCAAAGCAAGCTGATCCGGCTTGCTGGAGGGACTGGCGGGGCAAATGTGGATTTTAGTAAGACTTACATTTTTATGTCTTTCTGAGGAATATTATTTATTTTCTATTCTTATTCCCTTTACTGCCTTGGATCAGCAGAGAATGAGAAGCACTGGCGTGCTAAATTGGTGAGATTTCACTGTCTTCACTGTTCTTCACTCTCACTCCTGTTTTCCCCTTTCTGCGAACTGTTAATGTTTTCCCAATTTCACAGAGAATCGAAAAGTATCTATAGCATTTGCACAAGGGAAAAATATGCTCAGAACTAGGACTGTAGATGTTAGACTAGGTTCCTTTCTGGGGGTGTCAGTACTGTATACTCTCTGCCATCTGTTTCTTCTGAACACTTGATTTGGAGAAATGGCCTTTAGGAACAACGAACACCTCAGTACTGTAGCCTGTCTGGGAAATTGTTCTGGATATATTATCTCTCTAAATAAATGCAGTCCATAGAGTCATAAAGGAAAAACGCCAGGTTAGCAGTGACAGTGGATTAATTTTTCTGCATGTTATGTATAGCTTCCACTGTGTTAGGGCAAACTTTCCCATGTGAGTGCTCTTGCTCAACTATAGAGATGCAACTTGAAAGGGAAAATCCCACATATCGTAGCTGTGATTGAAAGGCATAGCCATTCCTTAGATTCCTGGATGATGGCTCTGTAGCCTCTTTAATTCACTTCACCATCTTTTATGACTGGGTTAGAGTCTCCTCTCTCCTCTGAGACTTGTCCCCTCCGTCAGTGCTGGGGTTTGCACTCCTTCTCACTTAACCACCTTTAATGATCTTGTAGGCTGAGATCTATCAAACTTTATTTCCATCCGTTGTCCTTCTTTAATCTGTGGGCTCTGTTGTCTTGTGGGCTCTATTATCTTCTGCCCTTTCCAAGTCCTGGCCGCAAGCCCCTGTTTCGTCCCTTTCCCCAGCAAGATGTGTCTCTCATTCCCTTTGCTGCTGCATAGCTGGTTGGGTTTCTGCTGCCTGCTGGAACTGTCTCTCCCACTTCCCCCACGCGCACAACGGGGAGCAGCAGCAACTGAAGGGAAGATCCGGGACGGCCAAGAGAGAAGACCTGCACAACTGTGGGGCTGAACAAGAGATAATGAGGTCTGGAAAAGGGAGGGAGGAGTGAAAAGCTGGGACAGGTTTTAACGCTGCAGAGGCATGATAGACAAATCTCAGATAAGCCTCTCTATTCCAAATATGCTTGGTTTAATTTTAAAAATGTATTTTTTTTTTGAACTCTATCACAGCTTGAGCTGAGAGGCTTGAGACCACAGAAGCCAAAGCAACAAGGAATTAATCCAAATGGCTAAGTTGTCACTGATCTCATACCTAGCAGTGCATGGACATACATGTGTTTCTTGAACAGGACGTAGTTACCCACAAGGACTTGCTAGAAAATGCTTGGATGATGCTTTGTAGCAATTAAAACAGCATGAGATGTAGTAATTGACTGCGGTGCCCTGAGAATGTTACAATAAAATGTACCAAAGACACCAAAAATGTAACCACAATATCTTGAATAGCTTGCAACCAAGACAGTGTAAATTATTTCTCCATGGGATTAAAAATAAATTAATTACAATACCTAGAAATTACATCCAGCAACAGACGCCTTTTTTTTTTTTTTTCTTTTTTAATAAAAAAATAAATACAGAATTGCTAAATCTGCAGAGGTCACCAGACAATGTATTCTTTGCTCTTGCTGTTTGCTGTTAGGAATCTGGGAGATGCACTGGTTTACTGGCAGCAGTCTTACTAAATAGCTGAGTGGCTTGTCTCTTGATTGCAAAAATGGGACGTAGGGTATTATCTCCTTCCTGGGTCATGCTTGGTGTCCTCTTCAATTTGTCATTATTATTTGACTTCTTAATATAGAGCAAAAGCTGCTATGAAGTGGCTTTACTACAACTCTTTCCTATTAATGTTGCAAAAATGCCTAGAAAACTTCCAGGACTCTGATGTGCTGTTGGGTGTGCAAATACTTAGGAAGACTTAGTTTCTGTCTGGAAAGTTTGTCAGAGTCTAAGGACAACACAAAAGATGGTGAAGCATGATTATATTTTGTCCTCAGAAAAATGAGTCTGATTA